AAATAAAAGATCACAGAACCACAAAGAATAGATCCAGCCATCTTTCCCCCAGCCAGCTCATTCACTCTGCCTCTCTCCTTCATGTGCACTGCTCTTCCTGAGCCCAAATTCAAGTGCATTCAGTGCAGATTCACCTCACTCTTTGGCCATTGGTTTCCAATGCTGTCCCTTTTTTTTCATTCAAGAACAGTTTTCTTTTCTGTAAACTATCGGATATTCCCCATCCATCCTCATTTGCAGCCCACATATTTTCCCCATCCATCTTTATCCCCTCCCATGTACCTCTTTGAGCATTGTTTTCATGATCTCTACCTGGGTTTTCATCTCAGGCTGCCTCTCTTCTATTCAAATACAATATCCAGCACTGAAGTGTGACTGGCTTTCTTAAGTCTCAACCTATAAAAAACCCTGAGTCTGGCTCAATAGCAGGTTTGTAGCCTTAAAATGCTGTTCCTATGAAAAGACCTCCTGGTTCTGTGTGTATGATAAATCTCCCCAGGGGCAGGCAGAGCCGCGTTTCAGTGCTGGCTGTCTGGCAGAGTGAGTGCCCTGGCTCCGGAGCCTGTCCGTGCACAGCCCAGCTCCACAGGACACTGGTACACAGCCCGGGCACAGCTCCACGAGGAGCTGGGACACAGCCAGGGCTCAGCTATATAGGGATCTGGGATGCAGGGAGCTGGTGGGCACAAACATGCACAAAGGTAGGAAGAAGCAATCTGGACATACAAGATCCTGCTGGTCCATCCCTTTCCCTGCCCTTCTGGAAAAAAAACAAACTAGCAGAAGCCTCTGTGGCAAGTCCTCCATCACTTGCAGAGATTTTCAGGATGGACACTGGAAAAAAGATTTGGGAGATACAGCAGCGACAAAGGATGAGAAAAGAGGGCATGTGCATGCTCATCAATTCCTGACAGGAACGGGGCTGAAGTGAGAAGCTTCCTGACGACCTTCAACAAGCAATTGAAGCATGAATATGGCAGCTAATTGAGAGCAGCGTTGATTGCCCCCACTGCATTTAGAGACTCGTTAGAAAAACACAGAAGAAACCTCAAAGCAATAGTGAAGTTATACAGGACAGAGGCAGAGAGGTTTAAGGTGTTAACCCTTCACCGTGATAAGCAGCAAAATGCTCAAATGTTAATCTAGAGACCAGAGCTGAAGGGCTTGCACCTTTTTGCCTACTAAAGCCTTTGCAGCAAATAGGCATTTTTGCAGCAAACAGAATTACAAGAGGCTATTAAACACTGGCAATAAACGATCCCTGGATGAATACAAGGGTCTGGAGTGTTGGTTAGTAAACTGTAAAATTTCTTTCATTCTCAGATGGTTCTTTGCAGGTTGCTGCATATTTTCCATATGAAAGTGATGGCAAATACAAGATCTGTGATGTATGCAAATTTTTAGCTTATCCTTTAGAAATTTTAACTGTACCTGCCTCAAATAAACTGTCCTCTCTTTAATTTCTTAGAGACAAGAATGCATTTCAAAAAAGACAGCCAGTCTGGCTTTTGTTGTCCTGTTGCATGCGTATTTGTGTGCGTGCATGCGCGCGTACGTGCACGTCTAGGAGTGCTACAGCAGGTGTTACTCAAGGATGTGATGACACTGAAATTCCTGTTTATTCTCAAAGCAGTCATTGTCCATCAGGTTCATTTATTATCTAACAAGAAGGATGGTTTCCTTCTCTAAATTAACCTGCAGGCACATTTGTGTGGAGCGCTAAGTTGAATTCGGCAATAAACACCGACCACAGCCTGGTCTGGCACAACCCGGTTTCAGCCACGGGAGTAATATGTACCTTTCATCCGAAGCAAACAGGTAGCAATTAATGCTTAAGTCATCTCCTAGAGTTGCTATGCGACATATAGATGGCAATACAAATACTTAGTATTGTAAAATGAAATTAATATTACGCCCTTTAATAATGCAGTCATTTTATAATAGAACTACTATTAATGAGCATCATCTTACTTTTATTAATTCTAGAGTTATAACGGTTACACCAGTGACATTAAATCATCTTGAATATGCAAATAAAAAAATCACCGCTGAGAACCACAGAAATTCTGAGCCGTCCTGAGGCCCCAGAACTTCAGAATCCTGTGGTCCTTTGTCCGTCCTTAGTCCCTCTGTCCATGACAGTATTTATAGCGTGTGGTCACATGTTGAGGAAACTTGGATGGTATAAAGGCACAAGAATAACTATAAATTAAGCAAAAAATGAGCACCCTGGAGTAGCAACAATAAGAAAACCAGAAGGCTTTTGGAAAGCAGTACATTTTATTCCCACATCTCATTCTGCAGTCTTCCACTGATGCTAGTAAAATACCTCAGCACGAGGCAGTATTTCTATTTTGTTGTGCAACAGTGTCTGTTACTGAAAAAACTGGATTGAATTTGCCCAATTCCCATTTTAATTTAGGGAATTTACAGGTAAAAACAGAATACAACATTATCACATTTCGACTATACATGCAAATGTACAACATTGTAACAGCAGCTTTTATGATAGTCAAAAGTGTTTGAATTTCCACAGATTTCTACTAATAATTTAACAACAGTAAGTGTCAAAACATTTAACTCACCAGGAAAAAGTCCTGATACAAGAGTCTAGGGGGAGAGCCTCCTACAGCACATGTCAAATATAGTGTGAGCACTACGGGCTCTAAGACTGGCTTCCAGGTGGTAAGAAGTTCCACTTTTTTTGTGGACATAAAACACTGAGCACAGTGAGGATAGACCGAAATTGTGGGTTTCTGTCCAGCCATCTGTATGATTACAATGCAGTTCAATATCACAATGAGTTCAGTAATACAGCAACTATAAGTCATAGGCACAAACTTCTTTAGGATGCATTTGAAAAACTAACAAAAGCCCTATTATATTAGCCTAGAAACAATAAATCGTAGTTTTATTGAAAAGATCCCATATGGAGCTTGAACAGAAGGTAAACGTATTTTGGCATACAGCCAGTACATCTTACACACAAGCTATACATAACATGTGATGTACAGAGCTCTGTGCCCTGTCCCCCAGCTCACCAGCTACAGGCTCTTAGCATAAATGTCCTTTTAGCCATCTCTTTCAAAATTCATGGATGATACCAGCTCAGCCAACTTGTGCAATCATTCTGAAAACACACTGCCACAGCACCTAATGTTTCTGCCTGTATTTATTGACAAGAACCTAAAGCTCCCCCGGAGAGCAGTTTTGCAAATACTCCCCGCTGGGCAAATTGCTCACTTCAGACTGAACACGCTGTGAGGCTAATGCTGCCTGCTTGGCTGGAGAGAGCACAGGGCTAGGCACTGCTTAATTAGGGCTGTGGGAATGACTGATTTTCAGTTCAGTGGCTTAATAGATAATAATAAATAATTATTAACAACAACAATAACAATATAAAAAACAACAACAACAAACTTGGTTCATTTTTTCAGAAAATGATAACAGCTTGTTTCAGTCTGTTGTCAAGGGGGCCCCAATGGCTGCAGCACCCTTTTGGGGTGAGAAATACCCACAGTCAAATCTTTTCTCTGTCTCGTCTCAGCAGACCTAAATACTCCCTATCTACCTACCAAAAGGATATCTTCAGGCAAAGAAACCCTCAAACATTTGTTTCCACAGTCTTTCTAGTTAAACAGATGTGGAACAAAATAATACTAGCATATTCAGCAGGGGTCTCGCTGGAATGCCTGCTTCCCGCTTCCTACATGAGCGCTTGAGTGTCCAAGGGGAGAGGCAGCTCTGCTCCTCACAGCCCACGGGGACAGGGACAGTCTGGGCACTGAGGAGCTGCTTCCACCAAAGCCGTGCATGTCCTCATGCTGAACACACTGAGCATCCCGCTCCCCAAGCACTCAGCCATGGGATCTGCCGGAGCACCGGGCAGCTCCTGCTGCCTGCCCACACTCTGTTCCACTGGACAGCACAGCACAGGGACAGCAAGGGTGGTTACCACAAAGCCACGTACCAGCATGTGGCCAGGATGTTGCAGAACTGTCCTGCAAAAGCACCCCTGGGAACTTCAGAGTTGGTGTCCCCAGGTCTGCTCTCAGCCTCTGCTTATGAGAGAATGAATGGAGAGGACACCTGGGTTCCAGGCCAGGCTCTGATTCATCCGACTTAAGGTTACAAGGAGGAATAACACAAGGCACGCACTTTCTCCCTAAATTTTCATAGCCCTCCCAAATCCAGTCAATACATATGAACATTTCTAAGCTCTTTTATTTGAGTCAAGCTAATATTCCAAATGCTGCCTGTAGTTAAAGCTCATAGATAAACATCCTTCTTTTGCCAATCAAAGCTTCCCAGAAGCTCAGACCTGCTTCTGCTTTCATGTACACCACCACAAGACTAAAGTATTTCTACTGAAGACACAAAGCAGCCAATGTAAACCAGGTCCAAGGCTCAGCCTGGAGGGCTTCAATTCATCAGATAAAAAAGTGATTTTACACCAATATAACTGAAGTGGCACAACCTCTAGCTCTCTTGCAACTGTATTGACACAGAGGAGCACAAAAAAGTACAGTTAATATGAGTTTATATTGTAGGAATTAGTTATGTAGAGTACCTATAACTGGATGGATACAGACACAGAAGCACATTGAAAGAGCCTCCACACGTGTTAAAATCACTAGGCTCCAGACACAACCTAAGGTATAGGCCACTGCTGTGTAACTGGCACTGCCAAGTATCTCAATGGCACTGATGTCCCTCATAATCCCAGCTGCTGGGCAAGCACCCGGTGACTTCCCTTTACCCAGCTCTCTCTGTGTCTGCAGCAGAGTGTCAGCACCTTAGCTGAGGTGGGTCTGAAGTGACATACTGAAAGCAAGACCAAAGCATGAGCAAACTATGACCTTTTGTTTTTTGACAATGAGGTAAAGTCATCCTGAATGATTTGGATTTTTAAGCATTGATGTGGAAATGTATGCTCTGCCTTCCCCCTATTCAGAAAACCAGGTGTCTGTCCTTAAGCAATAGGTTTTCAAATCTGCTTTTTAAGGGTTTGGTAGCTCTTCATTTTCTATCAAATAATCCTTCTTTATATAATTAGCACCCCTCACCAACCTCCATACTCCAAGATAGGCTTCTTTCAGTGAGCTTCTGTTCGCTTCTTGTGTGATGGTGGATTTTCCCTGAACCACAAGTGCCTTGGCTGATTTCTCAGTGACGTCCTTCTCTTCCTCTCCAATCTGTCTCTGCCCTGTGGATGATCCTTCCACTGCTGCTTCCTCAGCCCCCTTCCCCTGGGAAATTGTCTCCATGGCAAAGAGAGCTTGGTCTCCAGCCTGTCTTTTCCCCTCCTCTTCTCTAGCTTCTTTCTCCAGGTCCTCATAGTTGCTCTGCCGCCTGGTCTCAACGTACTTGGCCACGCAGTAAATGACAGACCCCAAAGTGTTGACCACAACACCAGCTATAAATAACTTTGTGGGCTCCACATCATTGAATGCCACCATGCCTACCGTGATGGTGGCTATGCTCTTCACCACCCCTACAAAGCTGGTGGTCACAGCCGAGTTAATGTAAGTGCAGTGAAGGGTGGTAAAGTTCATGGCACAGCTAATCAGGACACAAGCAATAAAGATGCATACCATGGCAGGGTCCTTCCACCCCGGGAAGGACCAGACGTTGATGGAATCCATGCTGGCAAAGGAGCAGATGATGAGGAAAGGGGTGGCCGAAACAGCAATGGCATACTGAGCTGTCAGGGGTCCGTATTCACTATCTACACTGGTTTTCTGAATGAGCACCAGGTAGGCAGCATGTATCAGCACGGCCAGCACACCTGTCACATAGCCCATAGCATCCCCAGTCAGGTCACCAGCTCCTGTCACAGAGGCACAGAGAGAAACAAGCATAGGAGTTGCACGAGAGACAGAAAGAGAGCACTGTTTTCGACTAGAGAGATATTTAGGGAACAGGCATCACTGCACTTTCTATAACCCCTAGGATTTGTCATGCTTGTCCCAAGTCTTGCCTCCCAACAAATCTCTTACCCATTTTTTTAAGCTGCAAACATACTGAGTGTTTTTCATCCCTCCTCTAAATCTCACAGCCAAAATCAGATTGCCTTCTCCTTTTTTTAAGACACTGTGCAAGATTTGTAGCTGAAACTGCACACGCACTCACACAGAGCAACCCTGAGCTTCATTTTGCCAGCACAGACACATGCCAGCAGCTCTGGCTGGCTGGGCTGCCGGCCCTCCAACCCACTGGTCATTCTGCACCCTCTAGCAATGGAGCTCTGTGGGATGCCTGAAGCAGCAGCCTCCCTCCCGAGCCCCCTGTCAGCCTTTTTGCAAATTAAATCACACACTGTGCATGTGCTCTGTAGTCTGGGGCATAAGGGCATATGTCTTCCCTCCATAAGGTTTCACCCTCCCTAGTAGGGCTGCAATAAGGTTGCACTTACTCCCACAGGTTTACACCGACCCCCGTAAGGATGCACCTATCTCCAAAAGGTTGTACCGAGCCCTACGAGAACGTACCAATCTCAGCGGGGCTGCATCCACCCCTGCAGGGCTGCACCTGCCTGCGTGGGGCCGCAGCTGTCCCCCAGGACTGCACGTCCCCCGTATCCTCTCATCTTTCTCCCGGGGCTGGCGCTGCCCCCCTGGTCCCGCGCCCGAAGCCCAGATGGAGCGGCTACCGCAGCGGCCGCTTGTCCCGTCCCGTCCCGTCCCGTCCCGTCCCGTCCCGTCCCGTCCCGTCCCGTCCCGTCCCCTCGGTGCGGTCGCGGTCGCTCACCGGCCAGCGCGGCGCCGCAGGTGGTGATGAGGACGGCGACGAGGACGCCGGGCGAGGGCATGCCGTCGCGGAGCACCAGGGCGCCGGTGACCAGCGTGACGAGGGGCAGGCAGCGCTTGAAGACGACGTACATGGGGAGGCTGAGGCCGCGCAGCGACCAGAGGGTGAGGGTGGACTGCAGGGTGGCCAGGGCGGCCACGGCGGCGAAGGGGCGCGCCAGGCGGGGCCCGAAGGGCGGCAGCGCCGCCAGCCCCCGCCGCCGCAGCGCCTCCAGCCCCAGCGCCGCCGCCGCGCTGCTGAGGCACTGCAGCAGCGTCAGGAAGGCGAAGTGGTAGCGGGCCAGCAGGAACTTCAGCAGGATGTTCAGCGAGCCCGAGCACAGCCCGTGCGCCACCGCCACCGCGACGCCCCGCGCCCGGCCCCGCCACCGGAGCATCCTGCCCGCGCCCGGCCCCGCCGCCGGGGTCCCCGGCTCTGCCGCCCGCCCGGCCACCCGCCGCGGCGGCGGCGGCGCGGGGGGACGGGGACGAGCGGAGGCAGGGGGCGGGAGGAGGCAGGACGCGCTCCCGGCAGGGCAGCCACCGCCCCCGACGTGTCCCCCCCGCGCCGCCCCCAGCGTGTCTCCCCTCCTATCCGCGTCCCCTCCCCGCCCCCGGTGTGTCCCCACGCCATCCCCAGTGTGTCTGCGTCGCCCGTGTCGGTGTCCCCCATCCCGCCGCCCCCCGTGTTTCCAGGTTCGCCCCGCGGTGTCCCCCGGAGCACTCCCGGCTGAGCGGGGATGGGAAGGCTCCCCTCTATCCACAAGCCCTCCCGACCCTCTGGGGTGCAGCAGGACGGGCAGCGGGAGCGGGCACCGAGGTGCTTTCCGCGCGGGGGAAAGCCGCGGGGCCCCCGCAGCTCCGCAGCCGAGAGCCACCCGCCCGAAAATAACGTGGAACAGCCATGGGACACCCCACGTCTCCCGCAGCAGGGAGATCAGTGCAGTTCCGCGCGTTCCCAAGCAGTTAGCACAGCTTCTCCTACTCGCCAGAAGTATACGACCTCCCGGGAAAAAGCATCTGTCGAGCCGGCCGGCAGCAATCCTCCTGCTGCCCCCCTGCTTCCTCGGCTTATCCCAGGGAGCGCCTTCTCGGGTACGAGCGGCAGAGACGAGAACGCTGCTAAGAAAAGCAGGGAGAACCGGGTTCTAGAGGAGGGAATCGCCTTGAGAAGTCCCCAAAAACTGGTGACACACAGCTTTCAAAAGTGATGTTTTAAATCCTGGTAAAGCTTAAATAAGCTGATCGCTTCTCTCGACTTTCCACGGGAAAGTTTTAACAGGAGATGGCAATAGACCATATCAACTCTAAGGAAAAGGCAAAGCAAAAGCAGTTCTCTCGGGCAGCCAGTCCTCTCTACCAGTCTCCTGCGGTGTCAGGCAACACAAGGAAAGGAAAAACTATCCTTCTATTCCGAGCTGCCTTATAATGTCGAGCCTTCTTTTAACATCTTCCATCGATTTCTTTCACCAGGACAGGCAGGATAAAGGAGACAGGGCAAGGTTTATAAAATGAAACGAGATAAGCATTAAAAATGAGTGTCTGAAGATGAAAACTGGTAATGCAGGAAAAGAAAAAAAGAAACCATAGGTACTGGAGACCAAGTCTGGTTTCAAAACACACTGGAGAAATGTGCCAATACATTTACATCAGCCTCTATTTGGACTCACCCCAAGTCCACATGCAACACAATTTAAAGGAAAGTGTGGATCACCTTGACAGTGTTTGCATATGAGAGAAAAAAAAACAACTCCTGCCAAGTAAGAGCAGATGGAAAAAAATCAGACTGTGCTTTCTGGAAATACAGTAGTAATTTGGACTACGCCTGAGTGTATCCTCTGGCAGAAACTATTTTGTCACCTCACCAGTGAAATTATCACTAGAGAAGTGAATCTCTGACAGTGCAGAGTATCAGGCAGCAAAACTGCTTTGGGGGCTAAATATTTCCTTGACTGAAACAGAAAAACAAATGCATCAGAAACAAAAATTTTAATACACTATTTCACTTGTAAGGAAGGTAGAATGATCATCCTAGTCCAACTGCCTGACCAGAAATTAAATCATGTTGTTAAGGGCATTCTCCAAATGCCTCTTGAACACTGACAAGCTTGGGACATCGACCACCTCCACCTCTGGGAAGCCTGTCCCAGTGTTTGAATGCCTATTTAGTAAAGAAATGCTTCTGAATGTCTAAACCTCCTCTGGTGCACCTTTAAACCATTCCCATGCATCTTATCACTTGAGTCCCAGGAGGAAGAGATCAGCACTTTTCTATCCACTTGCCCTCCTTGGGCATCATCAGAAAGTGCTGATGCTTCCCCTCCATCTCCTTTGCTCTGAACTAGACAAGCCCAAAGCCCTCAGCCTCTCCTCACAGGACATGCCTTCCACCATCTTTGAGCGACGCTTCTGGATGCATTCAAGGACCTTCACATCTTTCTTAAATTGTGGGGCCCAGAACTGAATGGAGAACTCAAGGAGAGGCTGCACCAATACTCAATTTGGAAAGTAAGTGTTCAAGGACCAAATCCTATCTTTCAGAACTCACCTGTGCTGTAAGGGTAGCTTCTCTTGCAACATCTCTCATGGTACTCCCCATTTCAATATAGTCTATAGACAGGAAAGGAAGGTGGAGGGGAAGCTGTTGTCCCTTGCCAAGCCACCCCTTTCTCAACATGGATTGAGGCCAGGTTCAGTACTAGTCTCCCACTGCCTCTCCACTACTCCAGAGTCACAAAAAGTGTTCTGCTCTTCACTGGGGAGGTAATGAATAAAGCAACAGGGAGACATCATCAGAGGTGACACTGCAGTGAAGGAACTTCCCCCACACTGGCTGTTCATATGTCCAGAGGGAACAGTGGCTGCTCAGTTCATACCTTGACTCTGCTAAAGAGTTTTGACCTGGCAGTGGGGCAGATCATAGCAAAAAATGGCTCTGTGGCTCCTTATCCTAATGAGATGATTATGATACCTTAACTGTCATCCTTTAAAGGAAATTATGCTCAGTTCTGCATTTCACCTAGCTACTAGACACAGGTGAGAGGAAAATAAAACCTGCAGTAAATTGGTGTCTTCCTAAGGGCGTAGATTTTTTTATAATTGCTCCTTGGATGAAAATGGTAAAGATCTCTATAAAATGTCTAATGGAAAATTTGCTTTAATTGGAATGTAATGCAACCATGAGGTCTATCAGGGAAGAATTGTGTAGAGTTGTATTCATTCCCCATCCCATGACCCTGAGCACAGCTGAGCAGTACTACTGAAAGGCACAGTACACCCTGCTTATGCAGCAGAATTTGAGGTCAGCACTGTACTTGGCTAGAAGAAAGAGATCCCCCTCATCACTGACACATACTCTGCACAAGCAGACACAAAGAATAATTTAAAATAGCTTTCCTGTATGAAAATGAAGATCTGATGGGACACACAGCTAGGAAAAGTTGCATAAAGTATGGTCTCTACTGTACAGGGGAAAAATGTGACCATCACCCAGTATTCACACATGAAATAAACCAAGATTATGATACTCTTCTTAGAAGATACTCTCAGTATCTTTTACTGCATTTACTTTTTGAACATTTCTTAATTGAGGAAGTGAACACAAGAGTATAGCCAAAGATACTGTGTGCATTTAATTTAATAGCATTCTAGAACAACAAATCCATGCCTTTAGAACTTGATTAATCAATATGTTTCTTGAACCAAAGTGAAACCCAGACTTAAATAAAACAAAACCTTTCACAGGAGCAAGTTTGAAAGTAGAACACATTACATCTTTTAGACTGTTGTTGTTAACTGTTTCAGTAAATGAAAAAAAAGATTGGAAGCTAGTATTTTGGTCATAAAATATGAAGTATCTCTTCAAAACAACTATAGCAAATATTCCCTGAGAATTAAGAATCAGCAACAACTATTGCCAAATTGCTTTTCCGTTACAGTGCAGAAATGTTACAGCACATTCTCACCATTCAAAGATCACACAGGAAGATTAAAGGCCACAGTTTTTATTTACTATGTGCATCTTCTGGATGTGCTCATCTTTCAAGAAAATTAAATCCGGATCCAGCAACCCTCAGCACTGAAGCTAACCAGAACACGAGGGGAGAGAAGGCAGTTGAGGAAATATTTAATCCATGTGCTGAGTGTGCATGTTCAGAATTTCTAATTCTTCCCCCTGCGCTAGGTTTTCTAAATTTTCCTTTCCAACTGATAAGCTATGGCAGCATTTTGGAATAACCACTCTCTCTGTCCTCCCAGAAACGTGCATATAAAATACACACCTGTCACCAAAATGTTCCACTCAGACAAGCAACTTGTAATCAAAGCAGAAAAGGGAGATAAAACAGAAGAGTGGAGGAACTATTGAAGTTGAAATAATCAATTTTAATGCCTAAAATTAGATTTTATGGCCCATGGTACTGCTGAAAGCTGTATGCAGCACAGCTTTATTTTGCATTATTCCTCAGCACACAGAATTAAAGTGCAGTAAATGTTTGGGATTTGGTACAGCACACTGTCATAAAAAAAGATAAAATCTATTTTTTTTGTTATTAATTCAGCTCAAAAAGATGTCAGTCTGGGAGTAGTTTGCATTTGACCAAGAAAAATACAAGATCCAACTGGGATCCAAATTATCATGTTGCAGAAGCAAGTTTCTTCCCGTCCAACCCTATATACCACATCATTATATGCACGTCTCCCTGTGGCTACCGTTTAGTTCCCTGGCGCTTTCGCCAAGATAGATAGAACAATCATTCTTTCCTTGCAACTTGCAGGTCTTAGCTCAGCTGAATTCTTTCCTCCATGGCTTCAAAGCATCCAGCAGATCTGGCAGCGTCTGCTATTGGTTGATCTATGAGTGCTGCAACCCAGAAGCGTAGAGCATTTATTAACAGCACACTATGAAAACCTGACCAGAGATCTGCAAAGACCCAACCTGCAAGGAGTCTTTTGGTGGTAGTGGCAGTTGAGATGGGCTAACAGCAGAAAGGAGACAGTTTTAAGAAGGTAAAAAAAATGGCTAGCAGGAAACCAGGAGAGAAGGCTAACATACACCAATGAGTGCTGCAGTACTATCACAGTTTGATCCTAAAACACTACTCAGAGGTGTTTGGAGAAACATAACGTCTGAACATCTCTACTTGCCCCAGAAAACTTAGATGGAACTACTAGCATGTGGGCTGAGGGGTCAAACTGAGAATGCAAAGTGTTCAACATACCTAGAACATGTTGTGCATATTGTAGTGACTGCAACAGTTTGGCTATGCTGGATCTGCTATGCTTATGTCATGCAATTAATCTGCATGTATATAGGTCAACTGGTCTGGACATCAGTTCTCACTTTGGCCAGGACATCAGAGGTTCAGAAACACTGGATATATGGCCACATCTCTCTTCT